GTCAGGTTGCTTGGGTTCAAATCCCGGCTCTGCCATTTACTGGCTCTGTGGCTTTGGGAAAATTAATTAGTTTCTCTGTTCCTTTTTTAAAAATTCTCACCCAAGGATATGTTTATTGATTTTTTAAATTTTTTTTGAGAGAGGAGGGGGAGGGGAGAGAGAGAGAGAGAGAGAGAGAGAAACATCAATGTGAGAGAGACATCAATTGGTTTCCTCCTAAACAGGCCCTGACCAGGGATCAAACCTGCAACCTAGGTATGTGTCCTGGATGAGAATTGAACCCTCAACCTTTTGGTGTTTGGGACAATGCTCCAACCAACTGAGCCGCCTGGCCAGGGTTCTCTGTTCCTTTTTTGTTACCTGTAAAATAAAGATAATAATACTTGTCCCTTTTTCAAATAGTTGTTGGAAGATGAAATAAATTAATAGATAGCATTGTGCTGGGCACTCAAAAACATGAGCGTTGGTTTTCCTCTGAGTGTTTGGAGAGCACGATTCCCGCACGAGCGCTCAGCGGGAGGTTCTGGCTGACCGTCTGCTGTGAAAACGCGGTGCTGCGTCGATCCTGTCACGGTCCCCCCGGAGAACCCCATTCCAGGCTAGTGCGCTGGGTGTGGACGAGTGACGGTGCTTCTGAACGTTCTCCCCTCGCACAACAGAAAATGGTGTATCGGCGCAGCCTGAGGTACGCAGGCAAGGCTGCTTGAGGCGCCCGCGCCCAGGCTCGGCCTTGCTTAGCGACCGAGAATTAATGGCTCAACCCACCTGCCACCCTCCGGAGGCCTATCCACTGGGAAGCAGCTCCCCTGAGAGATTTGTCAGCATCCCCCTGATGCTTTCATTCTGATTAGGAATATGGAGTTGTCCCCACTTGGGGCGCAAAGTAACAAGGAGCCAGCTTCCCGCAGCCAGGCTCCCCTGGGAGGCATTTGGAGACTGTGGGCCGCACAGAAGCTGCTTCTGCCTCCAGGACCCCTGCTATGAGGATGCCATGTGCCATGGACAGGTAACAGAGTCACTGTGTGCAGGCAGCCCCTGAGTGTGCGGGGAAGCGTCCCGAGAAGATGCCAGCAATCGCCTGACCGAGGGAGGCCCAGAGTGACCGAGGTTCCTCCCACGGTTGGCATAGAACTAAAACCGAGGAACCCAGGCGTTTCAGCCGCAACTCAGTGTGCTTTTTGCTGCCCCTTTGCCGCCTCCATGGGAAGGGTGATACTCAGTTGTAGAGGCTGGACTGGGCCCCACCCGCCACCAGGAGCCAAAGCCACACCTTCCGCCTTCTTACACAGGCACACGATGTGAAACTGTCCTGAGCAAGGCTCCAGGAGGCAGCCGGGGTGGACCAGAGACCCAGCTCCTGGGTCAGCGTGGGGGACAACCAGCATTTCTTCTGGAATACATCCTGCCTTGGCAGCAGAGGCCTTCTCCATCCCTTACCCCCGTGCCCTAAGCACCAGGCCTGCCAGCCCTGTTCACATCCCTTTAGAAATGTCCCATTTCACCCCAAAGCTGCAGAATATATATTCTCCTCAAGTGCACATGGGACATTCTCAAAGACAGACCACATGTTAGGGCACAAAACAAGTCTCTACAAGTGCAAGAAGACTGAAATATCAAGCATCTTCTTGGACATTTACACCATGGAATACTATGCAGCTGGAAAAATGAAGGATCCCTTACCCTTAGAGACGGCATGGTGGGACCTGGAGAGGATTATGCTAAGTGAATTAAGCCAGCCAGAGAAAGACAAGTGTCATGTGATATCACTCATATGTGGAATCTAATGAGCAAAATAAACTGATGAACAAAAAAGACCCAGAGGCATGGATGTGTGGAACAGACACAAATCTCAGAGGGAAGGCAGGGGTGGGGGGTGGGGAGAGACTAACCTCAGAATTTATATGCATATATGCATAATCCATGGACATAGACAATA